TTATAACATTCATTTCAAGAAAATCCTAATGACTTTCAGCAAAAAAATGCAGAAAAGCAACTATGCAGAACTGATCATATAAAAGCAAATGACAAGTTTTGACTAATTTCAAACAATCATAACTTGACAAATTTTAAGCATCAAGATAAATTTAGACAAGTTTTTAAATCTAATTTTAGTTCACTATTTACATTATTCAGACTATTGTCCTCATCTTTGTCACCATATTTATTGCAATGTTTCAACCGTTGTACTCTCCGGCTTTCTTCTTTCAACCACCTGATAAAGGCTGGAGTGTATAACGGCCAAAGTGTTGTAATAAATATGGCAACAAAGATGAGGGCAATAGTCCGAATAATGTAAATAGTGTACATAATACCTCATCTCAGAAATATAGACAGATACTAATTTTAGTTGTCTACTTTCAGACTAGGTATAGCAAATATCACTTAGGAAAAATTCCTAAAATGCTAAATATCCATTTGTGTGCACAAATTTGCTACAAAACTATAAAAAAAAAAATAAAAAAAAAAAAAAAATGACTCAAAATATACAAAACCCCTTAGACTTAAAAGGTGGCAATCAAATTTAATTGATTGTATTAGGAAATGGGAAAATAATGACAATTTGGAATAACCCCTTTTTTTTTAAACTTCCTTCAGAATCCCTTTATTTTGTTTTTTAATTGTTTGAAAAATACATCTTGCCAAGTAAAAAAAAAAAATTAATGGAAATGAACTATGAAAATTAAATAAATGAACTTTACTTTTAAGGAATTTTATTAAAAAAATATCATAAGAGGTAAATATATCCTACTTTAAATTATAAAAATTCATACCAGAGTATTCCAGATCCTATACACCTGGTGAACAGTATATCGTATACTATAAAAAAAATATAAGCAAAGGATATCAGTTTCAAAAATAAAAAATACAAACATTTTCAACATGAACATTATTTTGGGTTTGTTTTATGGTGCATCAACATCTCATTGGGTTATATAATGCCGACAAGATTTTTTATTGATGGTAATTTTTTTTTTTTAATGTATTGCTGGTAATAGTTTTTTCTTCAAAAATTTATTGCTGGTAATTTTTTTTTTTTTTTTTTTTTTACAAAATGTATTGCTGTATGAAAACCTATTTTTACACTTTCATAGTGTTTTGACCCCCGTTTAAAGGTTGAAGGTGGGGGGGGGCTAAATATTTACCCATAGCTGGGACCCTAACAGGTGCTACCACCCCAAGTCAGGTTAGACCTTGCAACACCAGCAATTAAGAGGTGGCTTCATGCTCCTCAAAGCCTCCTGATCAGAGGCCTTGATGTTGAATGTAAGTTATCTTATCTAGGACACCATTATTTTTATAATTACAAACATTATTATAGTGCATACTATATATATTTTTTTAAACTTTTACCTTATGTTTATTAAGTTAATACACACTGTTTTAAATAAAAATTAAAATGGGGCATCTATTTCAAATAGGAGTATCCAGTACAATAATGTTTGATGTAATAAAAATGGATTAAAAAAAAAATTCATTAATTCTTTAGAAATGAACATTATTATATATTTTACACTCTAATGGCCTCTAATGAAATGGATTCTTTTTTTATTTCTTAATCCCACAGATGTTATCACTTTAAACATTATTAATAATGGATAATCATATTTGAGTAAATGCTTCATTTACTTATTAAACAGTATATTTATTTATTTATTTTTGTCTACCAGCCTGAATATTTAAAAAACCTTATTAAAGAAAAGCATGTGCTTTCCAGCAGCATCCAACGGCAGAGAGAATCATCATTAATCCAAAGTACTTTAACCAACTCAGCCACAATGAAACTTTGCCAATCAAACAAGGCTGAATAATGCCTTTAAGCAAAGTCCTCTCATAATTTCATATCTGCAAAGTTTTATATCCAAATGTAAACAATGCAAATTCTAAAGTAGTAACCGATTTTTTACTTATTAATCCAACAAATGCACAGAAGGCCTAGTAGGGGGTGGGGGTGGGGCAAAGATTTGAATTTGTCTAAATATTCAACTTGTTTGTTGTGAGGTGTAGATTTTTTTCAGAAAATATTTAATGGCTCCTGATACGTTTGTCCTAAAAAAAAAAAAAAAAAAAAAAAAGAAGTTTGGCAGACTCCTGGGAGTCCAGGGAAAAATAAGTACAAAAACATTGAATTTAAACAAAAGACAACTACGTGAATTAACAAAAGAAATTACATTAATATAGACAGTTGAAAGGAAATGGAAGAAGGAAATGTTTGTAGACTTAAAGAGTGCCACCTAATGGGCGTTTGGTGAAGCCAAATGGGGTGGCCCACATGTTCAAAAAGAAAAAGGAAAACAAATAAGCAGATAAAGAACAAATACAAAATTTTATATTCCACAATTGTTGGTGTTTTGCAAATCAAGTTTTTAGTAAAGTTTTCTTCTTTTAAAGACAAAGTTTTTATGAAACCAGAAACATACAAGACAATGGAAGATTTTTTTTATGACAATTTCAACTGATGGATTGAAATGATATCACTTATACTAAGCACAAGGACAGATTTACAGGCATCATGCTTTGCTACAAATATTTAACAGAAAAATGTTAATGTCTATTTGAAAGTGTGCTAATTGAAGAGTATAAAACTTCTAATAACTTAATGCCTATTATCTGAAATTTCGCAGATTAATAATTTTGTTGTATACTCCCTCTCTCGGCCATCTTCTCTCAGTCAGGTGTCGAAATGTTTTTGGTAGTGAAGTGTTGTACAGCCTCCTTATTCTGGGGATCTCTTGGTTGATGGTCTTGAGGTAATCATAATAATGTTATCTTCATCTCGCTTTTTTTTTTCCTTCTCTCGGCTAGTTGGTTTGTTCAGAGGTAAAATGAGAACTTCAACAAAAGTGATTTTCAACTCATCTATTTTATTAACCATATTGATATGTACATTTTTAACTAGCCAGTTTGGTCACTATCACCCCCACTGGGGGAGCAAGTTCTGAGACATGAAATAACCACGTCTAATGTATATGACATGTAAAACTTAACTCCCTGAAAACACTTTCTAACTCTAACATTCCCATGTTCGGCTCAGCTAATCAACATCCCTATTTTGTCTACCAGCTGACGCTAAGGTCAGCCTCGGAAGGTCTGAGCTAAATACACTGGCACTAAAAAATAATATTCTGAAATTATTATTTAACAACTTTTTTACATGTTTTAAATGCTGTGTTAATTTTATTTCTCTGCATAAATTATAAGTTAACTTTTATTTTAAGTTGGTATCCAGTCACTAGGGATATCAAACATCATCTCTAATTTTCAATAAAAATGTTTTTATTTTGTCTGAAAATGATTAATATATTCTAGGTCCACTATAATTTCAATCTAATTTGTTTCTTTCTCTCTCTCTCTATATATATATATATATTATATATATATATATATATATATATATATATATATAGAGAGAGAGAGATTTTAAATTTTTCCTACAAATATTACAGTTGCATTTTAATCATATCCTCCCATAAACAAAGGACTCAAAATATGCATTATACAAAGATTATTAGAGTAAAGTCTTTAACAGTTTGCCTAGAAACTTAACAGAATATATTAGCAGTTGGAGAAAATAAACTGACAATTTTGAGTAAAATCTTTTTAAAATTTCTTTCAGGTTCCTTTTATTTTTATTATTTGAAAAAATACATCTATATATATATATATATATATATATATATATATATATATATATATAAAACAAACACATTCTAGGTAAAATGTATAAAGAAAGAGGTTTGGGAATATTGAGTTATGTAATAATTTCGGTACATTTTTTCTCTTAACGTACTAAACAATTCTTGCATACCAAACATTCAATTACCTCCCTTACATTTCTCTCACAGCCTCATATTCTGAAACTTTTTTTGGAGGGGTATTGTTTATCATTTACTGATCTTTGTTTTAGAGCCATTGCCAGACTTATTAGTTACAACTGTTGAAATGGGTTTATTTTTTTTCTTTAATCACAAAAAATAGTTGAAAATTTCAAATGCATTTCCGATTATTTTTCGCTTCATTTTATTTCGCTTATTTATAACTTAAAAATCAAAAGAAGGGTTTATGAGGCCGGGTAAATAAATTTACGTTCATGATCATGAAAAAAAAATGTCAAAGAATGAAGTACGATATTCAAATCAAATGAATTGGATTTTTACCAATAAAATATTTATTATTAGTTACTTGTTACTCATACTTGTTATACTCGGAATAATACACAAAGTTCAGTTCAGTTTTTCAGAATAAAAAAACTCAATATGAAATGAATTGTTCGAAATTTATTTTAATTTTTTTTTCTTTTTTCGCTTACAGGCACTCAACGTGTACGTATATGCACGCTTTAGTTTTGAAAATATTCTCTAAATTCAATCAAAATTTATATTTCGTTTGAAGTTTTTAAAACTTTTTTTAATCATTTTTTTTACCCTGAACAAGGTGATAAAGCCACTAAGGCGCAAAAGAGAAAGGAATCAGAATAAAATATTTTTAAACGTTAGCTTTTTCTAGTTATAATTTAAACATTTTTTTCTCTTTTGGTTTATGAAAATATGTTAAAAATCGCCAAACTATTTAAAAAAAAGAAAAAGAAAAATGTTTCTTTTTTGCCGTTGTTTCATTTGGAAAAAAACGTGTGTACTAGTATAATTGTCGTTGGTAATTAATATTTAATTCGGATTTATCAACAATTTATGTTTTATTAAATATAACAAAGAAAATATTATTTTTCTCAATACTTGTTTTTATTTCTTTTTAAAAAAACTAAAATTTATAATCGAATTGCTAATGTTTTTCTAATAAACTTTAAACTTTATCAACAGCTTGTCAAACAAGACGAGAAAAAATATATCACACCTTTTCACATTAAAAAATTCATTCTTACTAAAAACAAAAAAGATTATTTATCATCAAGTGAGGAGATAAGTTTCTTTTACTTACCTTCTAAGATCAAACTGCATCTTTTCATGCCCGTCAGGTCGGTTTTTCTTAGTCTGTTTTCTTTTGACTTGTGACAGGTGGTTTTCAATTTTGATTTCACTGCTTGACGTCACAGAGAAAAAGGTTAAAAAAAAAAAAAAAGTTAAACTTAATATTTCATAACTTTGAAAAAATTAAAAAGTTTTCTAAAAATTTTGAACTACTAAAAAAAGTGATTGACGTGTGGCAAAGAAAAAAATGTCTCGCTAAAAAACTGTTACAAAAAAAAAAAAGAACAGAAGAAAAGGAAAAAACACTTTTCCTAGTAATGAAAAAAAAAACAACAACTCTTATTCATGTCGATAAATAAGGATAATAAAAAGTATATTTTTAACGGCGAGATGACAGTCAGTAATAAGTAATAAAATAATTTATAAACAACTTTTACTTTTTCCGTCCCCGGAGGTTTGTTTTTTTTTTTTTTTTGTAGATCAGTCTGTGAGAAGAATAAAAAATGTCAACAACCTGAGTTTTATTTTTCTTTCTTTAGTCACTAACAAAAATACAACTAAGCTTTAGGGAATTAAAAGAAGAAAAAAAAAGCTATATTTTGTAGGGAGGTTTGTTTTCGTAATGTTTTTAAATGTTTACACATGGCATGCAGGTGCTTGGTTAAAAAAGTCGTATTATTAATAATTAATTAATAAATAAGAAACGTCTTTGTTGATTTGTTACATTATTATTCGCTGTTAAAATAAAAATAATATGTAAATTTGTTAAGCTCTAACAAAACAGCTGTTATGATTTCTCAATCAGGACACTACACACTGGACAAACGACTACAAATCTCTTCTTAATTTTATTCTTAAATAATAAATAAAATAAGCCAGAACATTTTCGGCGAAAAAACAAAAAAAAAAAAAAAACAACAAACAAACAAAAAAATAACGTAACGGCAATTTGAAAAATGCAAATTAAAAATTAAGAATAGCGAATCGTCTAAAATTCGGTTTATTTACATTATTTTTTCTTCCTTCTTGAATTATTAACAGAAGCGCGAACGTTGTTGATGGGATTTTTCTTTTTTGTTTGTAGCTTTAAAATGAATAAATTCTCCTCCGCGAATTATTTACAAAAGAGAATGTCGTCAAACGGAGAAGCAAAATACAAAAAAAAAGTGTAGAGCTTTAGAATGTTTGTACCTTAATCAAGAAAATGTAGAACCATAGAAATTGTTTATGCTTGTTGATGTTATCTCAAGACTACATCCGTTTTCGCAAAAATAAAAATACACATCATCATCACCATCATCATCATTTTTAATCTGCACGGTCACGTGACGGCCAGTTGATGCCAAACACGTCAGGCTAACTTTGTTTCTGGATTGGTTTCTTTCGCCCGGAAGTAAAAGAAAGTGACCGTGCTTGGACCCGGAAGTGGTTTTAATACCACATGTTGAAAGGCAATGTTAGAAATTTTAAAAAAAGGTTTGGATGCTGTTAAAACAGGGCTCTTATCTAGGATCTGTTCCTCCGTAGCATGGCTATGACTACCAAAGACAAACAAATGACCACTCATCCGTGTGGGTGGGTTACCCACGTTAAATAACTGACCTTATGTCACATCCTAACTCAACGAGGGGTAGCACGTAAATACCGGCGCTGTTTATCTCATAAAGATCATTTTGGGGCACGACTACCTTGTAGTTAATAGTAGTAGCAGCAACAAAATGAGAAAAGGACTACCGTGTGCATGTATTGTAAATTTAAATGTGCATGCGTGTGTCCTCTTTGTAAAGTACTCCTCATTATTGGGCACGAAGGATGAGAGAGCTTTCAATTCCATTAATTCCCAGATGTAGTTTTTTTTTTTTTTGTGGGTTAAAAATCAGTTCATCTTGTTGAAAGATAGAAATCGATCTTTCTTACTTTTGCTTTTCCTCTCTAAAAATGTCATCTTTCTTTCTTTTCATAAAATCATAATTAAAAATTTAAAAAATTAAAATCAATACACAACTAAAAAAAAGCCTTTAATTAATCACATAGAAATTATTTTTTTTAATAAGAAGACAACGTTTTTAATGCAACCAGAAACAAACTGAACTGGAAGCTGTTTTTTTTTTTATATCGACTTCATCAACTAACAAACTGCTTGAAATGGTATTTCCTAATGTACATGGACCGAGGTATAGACATCAGGCTCTGTTCGAATATTTGCAAATGTTAAAAAATACATGCCATCTCACTGTGTATTACTGATTATCTGGCCTAGTACAGTATTCACCTAGTGCCCTACAAATATGGCTTTGTTTTTGTATAAGTAAAGCTTATTAAACAAAAAAACTAGATATTGTAACTATGTAACAAAGCTTATTTCATCATATTCTTGAATGACTTGCTGAAAGTAACATTTTTATAACAATTGAAATGTTGATGATCATATCCATATCCACAGTTTAAAAACTGACACCTTTTTTTCATATGATCATTTTTCTTAAGGTTCATATTTTCCTTGATATTTGATAAAATTGGAAATTATCTGGCATATCTCCGAAATTTTCACCTTCTAAAATTATAGTTTATAATCATTGTTTATGGATAAGAAAAAAAAAAATAGATATTATAAAATAGTCATTCAAAGAATAAATCAATAAAGTTAATGTAAATAATGGCAAATTCACTTTGCGAACAGATTAAGAAGGCATTAACTTACTGACCACTCGCTTAATGACACGATTCTTGTTTTTTATTAGATGTACAATGGATTAAAGTCCATACAGTTTGAAGGCACGTTTGGTGAATGTATGCCATCTTCAGACATAGCTGTTACATTTTTCCGTAATTTCAAGTAAAAAATTCCGAGACGAAAATGAATGTTACTTATCGAAAGATTTTTTTATTGAAAAGTGTGGTGTTAAGAATATTTTTTGAATGTGCATAAATGTAACGCTAGATTTTTTAATATTGTAGTAATTAAAAATTTCTATTAAGTGTTTTTTTTTTTTTTCCGTTGATGTAACATGGACTATTGGTTCAATAATTTAAATTAGAGAAATGTAGATTTCAGAATTTTTTTTTTTATACTACAGATCAAATATTTTAAAATTATGAAATAATTTGGCTTCATTAATATTATAAAATATTTATGATATTAATTAAGCCACATTATTTCTTTATATATATATATATATATATATATAGTCTTAAGGTGTGCTATATGGGATAAAGTGCTCAATATCAGAGATAGAGCGTGTGAATATAAAAGGCCTCTAAGTGTTGACTTCTATGTTCACTTTTATATATATATATATATATATATATATACATTGTTCATTATTTACATTATTCGAATTGTTATCCACATCTTCATTGCCATATTCACAACGTTTTGGCTCTTGTACACTCTGGCCTTCTTCAGGTGATTAGAATTTCAAACTGAACCCTTTATTTCGTCCACTGGAGTAGATTGTTCTAGTTCCACGTGCCATGCCTCTTCCAGATGACTCATTTCCCTTTAACTCAACTCTCTAAGTTTTGGTTCATCACTACTGTGGCGTGGTAATGAATTCACAACACATTGCATCTAGTATGAAGAAGGCCAGAGCATACAATGGCCGAAACGTTGGGGACATGACAATGAAGATGAGGATAACAGTTTGAATAATGTAAATAATGCAAGTAATCATAATAACTCATCTCAGAGATATAGACACATATATATATATATATATATAATAGCTGGCCACTCATATTCAAGGATACCTGTCTAATAGGGCATCTAGCCAATCCCCACTGCAGACGCTCGCTCAGGCACATTTTTGTGTTTGCTCAACTCCTACAGAGCCCATAAGTGGTTTATACTGCAACTATGCTTTAGTTACAGTTTCTGCGAGAGAACGTGTTATCTAACATGATCAAGCCCTCAGCCCTGATGACTTGTGTCTTCATGCTAGCACAGCTCCCAAGAGTGCCGTCTACCCAATTTCACTCACAAGGCTTTGGTCAACCTGTGGTATGGTTTTCAGGCCCTTTCCAATGGTACCACAAGCTGGGATCAACCTCAAACTCGTCCAATAACAAATCGACCATGGTGAGATTCGATTCCAGGTCTCATGGTCAAAAAGTGAACATTCTAACCAGCGATATGCCCACATAAATATGTGTGTGTGTGTGTGTGTGTGCATATATATATATATATACATATATCATGTCACATCCTGCAAGGCAGTAAAGCCACTAAGACACAAGTGGTTATTGACTGTGAAAGTATAAGAAAACATAGAAACATTATTAAGAAGTTAGAACAATAGAAGAGTAATCAAGATAATAATAAATAACGATTGACACTGAATTTAAATTTTTGAAGATCAAAGTTGGCTTGAAAGCAGGGAATTAGAAGAGTGTTCCACAAGTGATAAATGCAAGAAAAAAAAACTGTTAACATAGAAATTATATTTTAAGACATAATTTATGTTTATACATTCTTTTTATAGATGGTATTTATCAATTCACCCACAGGAATTGAATGTGGCACAAGGCCTTTTTAATGTGGGTATGTCTGAGCCCGTAGGCCCAGCCAAAAATAAAACCCATCTAAACCCGTCCAAGCGGGCTAGTTCCATCAACCTCCCGAACGAAACCCTACCCTTCGGCAGAGCCTCGTCCGGGTTCCCTCTGCAAGCAGAGAGTTAAACAGACACCCGACCCGCAGCTCACAAAGCGCAGAATACTACACTTTGATCCTAGCCACCGGGCCGAGCGGGTATTCTTTTTATAGATGGTATTTATCAATTCACCCACAGGAATTGAATGTGGCACAAGGCCTTTTTTTAATGTGGGTATGTCTGAGCCCGTAGGCCCAGCCAAAAATAAAACCCATCTAAACCCGGCCAAAGCGGGCTAGTTCCGTCAACCTCCCCCAACGAAACCCCTACCCTTCGGCGGAGCCTCGTCAGGGTCCTCTCTGCAAGCAGAGAGTTCGACAGACACCAGCCTCGGCAGCTCACAAAGTACAGATACTACACTTTGATCCCAGCCACCGG